CAAGTACACAGCTAGTTCAGAACCCGCTGGAAACTGGGAACGAACCGAGCCCCGAAGTCCAGGACGGCCTCGGTACACTTGGTCACTGTTCGGACTCTGCCTGCCTTTGTTTTACAGAAATCTTTTTACAGAATGCGCACACAGTATTCGCATCAGGGTGCGAACAACTCTGGGAATATTAGTGATAATACTATTTTTGCACATACTGCAAATATGTGGGTTGCCCATTTGTGTACGTGTCTGCGACAATATTGTGGTGCCATGCACAGCCCCGGTCAAATAAGGAGGCTAGTCTAATCCACGAAAAACCGGTCCTCCCATGTACGCACTCCCGCGACACTGAGGTGGAACAGTAAGAGGAATTATTATAATTCACGTTACAGTTCACGTTAATAAGATCGTAATACACCACTGTCTACGCCGCTTCACGATACCCGTTACACGTAACATGTCCAAGCAACAGGTGATAGGTGGGATAGGTAGACAAAACGTAGTGACCACGGGATAGACTTCACATGCTCTAAATTAAGCAGCACTGCGGTCAAACGTCCCGCTTCACAGCCAGACCATACAGCAGGCCAGTGCGCTGGGGTGTCTAATAGCGTTATTAATAACGAGACAGACGCGTTTCCTGAGAACTACACCACAGTGCGCCACCAGAAACTCTGGTACGCCATTGTAAAGCAGGATCCCTACCTCTCGTGTTTCGGCACAGTTTCGTTTAAAAATCAGCCTCAGAACACGCCATCGCGTTTTTGTTCGTGTGGATCTCGGCTGTCACTGCGTGGGCCTTTTCTCGTGCAACAGGTCCAGCGCATACCTGAACACAGCGCTGGAAATAACGTCACTGCTGGTCATTAACAATACAGCACCCCTATCAGTGACTCGCCCCGACCACACGAAACGATTTTCTCTCTTTAAGATTGTTGGGGGGGAGAACTGTTATACCGAATTTAACGCAAAATTGGTGTTGTGCTCTTATGAACGATATTTACTGTATTTAGAAGACGAGGCGGCGAGGCAAAATTAGGGCATCACGGTTTTCCAGCTCAAGACCTCGCCGGGTCTCAGCTTAACAGGGTGATGCCTCCCGTTACAGGTGCAGAGTCTAGAAGGGTCCTGTGGTCTTGGGGCACTGGAAACACTGGACCACGGGGTCTGAGACAGCCGGGGGCAGCGTGGTCTCATTGGGCCAGAGGGAGTAAGGCAGGTAGCGAGCTGGACGGAGGGTGGGAGCTGAGGCGAGGGCAGTGTCTTGTAAGAACCAGCCCGTGACGGGGAGAGAGGGAGGGGTCAGAGTGTCCCGCTCAGTCACAAGTCGCCTGTAATTAGCCTGCCCCTTTCTTGTGGCGAGCAGTTAACCACGGGCTGCCTCCGAGTCACCGGACACAGCCTAGCTGCCGGGCGCACAGACACTTGCAGAGGGCGGCGCGTCTTAACCGGGTCCGAGAGACAGAGGGATCGGGAGAGAGAGCAGAGAGAGAGGGAGAGGGCTGCGGAGCACTGGGAGAGAGGACCGCAGGACTGAGAAGGAAGAAGAGGTTCGCTTCACTCCTCTCCATCACTACTTGTCGCACAGTCTTTATCAGGACCACACACACAAAAAAGTTAGCAGTTTGATAGCGGGGCGGCGTTAACTGTGCGTGCGTAAGGACCGCGGCAGCAGTCCGTGACCACCTGCGCTTGGATACCTGCAGGTACCGACAGGTGTCCCGGCGCCGCCAGGAGGGAGACCAGAGAGCGGAGGCCAGATCCCGCACACCGCCGGGTGACCGGTCCCGGGAGTCCCAGCCGGGAAGGAGGGAGCGCACAGCAGTGAAAAAAAAAAAACAGAAGAGGAAGACTCCCCCCCGAGCGGAGGAAGAAGACCCGGCCCCTCATCGAGCGAGAGAGAGAGAGCGAGTGCGCTTTAAAGTCCAGCCCTGAGCATGATGTCCTACATAAAGCAACCCCATTACGCCGTGAACGGGTTAACACTGTCCGCGCCGGGCATGGACCTGCTACATTCCGCTGTCGGGTACCCGAGTAAGTCTCATTTTCTCTTTACTATGTTCCTGTATATAAGATGATCTTCAAGCACCCTACACCTGTAAAGCCCAGTGCAGTAACTGCATGCTTGAACTATTTTTAAAACGTGAGAGTCGGTCCTTCTGCGTGCTTTTCTATTAAAATAAAAGTAAACCATTGGATGTAGAATCCACGCATTAGTGGAAACGTACAAGCTGGGGGCATTGGGCGTACGGCAGCAGAGGTCCGAGCCCCAGGTGTCTCACCCCGCAGACCGCTCTCCAGGTGTGGGTGCTCTGGGGTGCGGTGGGTCTGGGGGTTGTCGCGCGGGGGTCCGGACCCCCGACACGCCAGCGAGCCACGGGCCGCGCGGGCACCCCCGGGTGTCCCCGAGGCGCGGAGCGGCAGTCCCGGTTCTGTACGGAAGCGCAACAGGTACCGAGAAGATTCCCACAGACAAAAAAAAAACACGGAAACCTCGTCTCGAGTCTCATCGGCACCATCACAGTTATGTTATTATTGCCGTCTTTCGGCTGCGTGTTCTTGTGAACAGTCTTGCGTCCCGCAGGTCAGGGTCCGAGACGTCGGGCTCAGATACCCCTGATGCTGCCCTGAGCGCAAACTCAATACAACACGAGTTTCCCAGTTTTTTCACCAAGTTCAATAATTCCCAGTGAACAGGTATTTAACCAAGGCAGAACACAAGCAGAACACGTTTTCCATGAAGAAAATTAAAAAAAAAAAACATCTGAAAAAGTTGCGCCTTTTTACTTTTGTAGGGACTCTAGGAAATGTATTTTTTTTTCTGAAACAACGTGCTTTGAAAAAATAACCCCTACATGTTCTGTCACCTCATGAAGTAACTGATCAATCAAGCCAAGACTGTTCGTGTTTAGCGAAAAAAAAACCTTCTTGTGCAAATCAACGAAGACTCGCTTAACCTAAAAAAAACCGCATTAGGTGCAAATACCTTTTTTTCTGCAGGAACCTTAAATATATATTTTTTTCCACCATCGTTAATTTCAGCAGCAATCGCTTTGTGTTCTTGGGCCAGTACCCCGCAGGTGAGGGACTTGATCACCGCGGCCATCCTTGCCCGCTCCCTGATCTGACTCACCCACTCGTGATGTCTGTCCTGAGGCCTTGTCACCCTGCAGCCCTAGAGCGTGCTATTGTCTAGAATTCATTTGGTCTTCATCTTTATCCAAACTTTATACCTGTATTTTGAATGAGTCCGTCTTTATTTTAGTACGAATACGGGCACCAGTTCACTGCAGGCGTCGCGGTTCAAGGGTGGTGCTGTGGCGTCTCCGCCCCAGACTCGAACCCTTAACTCCGCCGGCAGAGAGGCCCCTCAGCTGCTCCGCAGCGCCACCCCGTGGCTCTCAGGGCGGCAGCTGAATTGGACGGGGAAGCGATCGGGGTCGGAGTTGGCACCACCGACCCCCCCCCCCACGCGAAGTTCGCTCGCCGGTCAGGGGGGCAAAAGCGCCGTTTTCCACGGCGGCGTCGCGCGTGTAACACACGCAAGGAAAGCTTAAGCTTTTATTTACGTTTTTATGATAAAGATTAGAATCTAATCCGCTTTTAATTTTTCGGAAATGTCCAGATTGGAAATGCATTTCAGTGACATCGACCAAATAAATACAGTTAGAGCAACGAAAGGCAGCCGGCCTGAACTCCAGAGCGCGATTGAGCAAACACTTTGGTTAACTTCAATAGTCCAGTGTTCTTAAGTCATTTAAAATGAAATCATTTATATTGTTCTAAACATTTTTTAAATAAATATCTTTATGCAGACCGTGCTGGAGGTAATAAAATAATCGGTTTTAGGGCATTTAGCCTCTATCAGCAGTAATAAAACACGACAAAAGAGTTCTCCGACTAGTAACGCAATCAATTCAGCTGTTAATGCAGTACAATAGACCAGAGTGTACTGCAGGATAGACTATAATAAACACCACAGTACAGAGCAGAAATTGCAGACAAGGGAGATGTATTTTAATTGCAGGTGTATCTGTAGGAATGTGTTGTAGAAATCTGCAGAAATATATGTAGTAGAACATATTTAATAGTAGTCAACACAAAGCAGGCCATGCGGCTATGAAATCAGCACTCAAAAGGGGAGTTATCGTTTTTAAAAGGAGACTTTCACGAGCGTTATTCTCCGCACAGTGACGTCAGAGGCGCAATACAGGAAGTAGTCAGAGGTGTTAAACGCTAATCGTTGTTGGACAGGGGGGAAGTTCCTAAACGTAGATAGAAGCAGTACTTTTATACAGTTGTTGAAAGTAGGCCACATCAGTGTGTGTGCTTGTCTTCATGAATATAAAATGGTACTGTTCTGTAAAGCACAGGAAGTTTTGAGATAAGTGGTTTCTTTTGAAAATGAATCAGTTAACATGATTTATAAATGTGTTTTTGATAACAAAGCAAAGCATAACATTACTTTAGATGCACGATTGGTCTTACAGTTAAGGGCATCACAGTGACTGGGCAGGTAGTACTTCTTGCTTCTAAACTCATGATAGTAAGCAATTTGTAAACATGGGTCGTTTAATAGTGATGCTACAATCTGTCCTTACAGTAGTATTTTAAATAATCACAGCAGGTTTATTCCTTTGTGGCTCTGCTATATATTTTGAACTCAGAGTGACTCAAGAAGCTGATCACTGTTAATAATTCTGTGGTTTCTGTGATTGTTAATTCGATTGTTAAATCATGTTCAGTGTGCAGAACACCTGACAACACCTGGGAATCTGTGAAGAGCCAATTTAGCACAAATACTAGAAAACACTTTTTATACAGTGAATTATTAGCCTCTGGAGCAGATAGCTGAGACACTGTGGTGGCAGAGACACGGGGAAATTTTTGAAACTGAGATAGGAGCTGTGAAGGATTCAGTCCATGGCAGGAGAAAACAGTGAGCTCTGATTGTTCCACCAGCTCAGGAGCTACATCACTTCAAGTGCTGATCTGGTCCAACTTGAAGTCATGGTGGTGGGCCAATAGGTAACACTCTTTCATCTGCTTTAAAAATGAAAACCAGTCCCCTAGGATGGGATCTGAATTCTGGTCCTTCGGGTAAGGTGTTTAAATGGAGCCCTTGACTACTTGTGGTCACTGATGATTGATCTTGATTTTGAATATTATCACACCTAAACACAATTATTGTTGCTTTACTTAACATGCTTAATTGATCAGAAGGGTGTTGGTATAAGTCTTTATAAATTTATAATTTATGGATGAACAAGAAAACGTACCAGAAAACCTATTCGCTTTCCAGATCCCAACTATAAAGTCCTTGGGACCTCTTTTGATCCCTAGTGACCTCCTAGTGACCAAACCCAGAGCAAAGAGGAACATAAGATCAACAGGGTAGATCAACCCCAGAAACCCCCAATTTACAGGAGGAGCCAGTCCGGAATCATCAGTTTTCTCCTGCTGGGAGGACAAGCCAGTTCTCAACTCCAAAGCTCAAACGTAAATGGACTGACTGGTATGTTTTTGCATTCACTGGGGATGCTAGGCCCAGAGGTAGACAACAGACAAACCTATTTGACAGTGACTCCTTGCCTTTTGCCAGTCTATGTAAAAACCATCTTCTGCTCCACACTGCATTTAACATCACCCACACTCCCTGCATTCTGAGTAAATGGATACCAGCTGGGATTATTAGCTTCAGTGTTAAACATTGTGGGTTTTAAAATAATACTTAGAGGAAGAGTGCAACAAAACCATGGAGTGGGCGAGTAATGCCAGGGCCGGAGTTTGGAAGGCCTGCCTCAGATCTAAGGAGACCTTCAACACCTGTGTAACAGTTCCCACAGGACTCAAAGGTTTATCTATCTCCAGCTCATAGAGAATGCACTGTAAGTTTCAGTATTGAGCTGGTGCAGTGAAGACAGTAATTAGTCAAATTGGGTGATTAACCACAAACATGATCCAGACACAATGCTGCTGCCATCACCAGGACATTGAAGAATAATATTGCCTTTAAACTGAGCACTGAGCTTAATTAACATGTCAGTGAAGCATCACACAAATTTGCTAAAGTGGTGTTGTTACCTTATTACCATTGTCATGACCGTCATTTTCTGAAATACAAAAGAAGCCAACACAGAAGAAATACACTATTATTAAAACTATTATTTTTTACCTTTATACAGTATCTAAAGACATGCTATACCATTAATGCCTGCTATTTGCTGTAATTTAATTTTCTACAGCAGCCCTGAATTACAACATATCTTTTTTTAAGTGATATTCTACTGCCCTAATTGACACTGTCTGAAAGTAGGCCTCTTGGACACCTCCAATGCCACATACAGTATAGGAAGTTTTATAGTAATAATAAAGCCCTATCCCTCCCTCAGTATACTGTATGCCCTTGGAGTAATTAACTACCATTTTACCATTGGAAAACTGTCCTTTTTAGCCCTAGTGTTGAGTCATAGCATTATTCTCTCTATATCATGCGTTAGTGCACAGGTGCAGGGAATTCTCCTGACATCACACAGATTCTGATGCCAATATATTAAAGCACAAAAGACTAGATCCATCACCAGTGTGTGCTCAGGTTCTGTTTTCGCTGTTCTTGCAGATAGTGTCCTCTAGGCAGACTTTGTCAGTATTCTTTCAAGATGGACACACCTGTTTTCAGCTTCTCTTGTAGTTTTCTCCGTTCAGAAGCAAGGTTCGGTTCTTTCAGCCTCTCTGTGCAGGACATTCCTTTAAGGTCATTGCCCTTCTTTGAACTAACTCATTCAGAACAGATTCATTTATGCAGTGATTTGATTTAACGTGAGGATGTGAAGAAGCACAGCACTCCTCAGTCAGGGGTGTAAGATCTAAAGGATCACAGGAGCCAGCAGTATTGCAGTGTAATCCAGTGTTACACACTGTAACTGCCATGCCACCTCTCAAAGCTATCTGCTGCAATCAAAAACTTGCTTTCTTTTCCATCTTGATAATGCTGTGGGGAAGTCCACCAACTATCCTAGAACAGAAAAACAAACCTTTTTATCCATATGTATGTTACCCCTTAGTATATGTGACCCTGAAAAACTTGGTCTTGAGGAAAAATCTAAATTCAGGCCATAATCTCCAAAGTTTTACTCAATATTTTTGGGAATAACCTGGGCTGTCTTGGAAAATTGCAAATTTGACATTTCTCTCCAGAACCTTAAAGAATAGCCTTGCACACCAGTTAGATGACATCACAGACTCTTACCCCCCAGCCCTCTAAAGGCAACTGGGAGGAGAGAGAAGTGGGAGGGGCTTTCATTTGTAGGCGTTAGAGGGCTGGTGGGAAGGGTGGGATCAATAATGTCACCTAGCTGGTGTTGCTGATGAGGGAAAGTTTATCTTAAAATTACGGATGAGCTGGACTGTCTTTACAGTATCTAGAGATCTGATGGTGTGTTTCTTCGAAGGAGCTGTGCTGATACTGTTACAGCACTCTAAATATTGATAATTACAGTAAACCTGAAGGTAAGAATGAGACAAACTGGAGCGCCTTCAGAGTATTCTTAGTATAGTATTCTGATGCTATTTTAAAATTTCCAGGTAAAACTGAAATGTGCAAATATCATACACCCGCCAGTGATTGTGATCATGATGATAATGAAATGTACATTTTTTATTTTGGAATATATGAGAAAAATGAAAACATATTCTTGGAGATGGATTGCGCACGCAGGCCATCCTGGTGTTCGGGTGTACTCTGTGCTGTTGTGCCTGCGGTCGGTGACAGTGATCCACGTGTCCGTGTGTGTGGTTGCCACAGCGACGCCGCGGAAGCAGCGCCGGGAGCGGACCACGTTCACCCGTGCCCAGCTGGACATCCTGGAGGCGCTGTTCGCCAAGACGCGCTACCCCGACATCTTCATGAGGGAGGAGGTGGCCCTGAAGATCAACCTGCC